CTCTTTGGAATTGATGTTTCTGTGTCCTATGGGTAAATACCTAGGAGTGGAATTGCTGGATCATATGGAAGCTCTATGGTTAGCAGGTCAAGAAATCTCCACACAGCTCTCCATAGTGGTTGGACCAGTTTGCACTCCCACCAACAGTGCAGGAGAGTTCCTTTTTCTCCACAACCTCGCCAACATTTGTTGTTGCTAGTTTTTTTAATATGTGCCATTCTCACTGGTGTAAGATGGTATCTCATGGTAGTTTTGATTTGCATTTCCCTGATTACAAGTGATGTTGAACATTTTTTCATATGCCTGTTGGCCATTTGCATTTCCTCTTCAGAGAAGTTTCTTTTTAGCTCTTCTGCCCATGCAATAGTAATAAGATCCCCTTTGCCTCTATTCAGGGTGGTTTTAGCAGAGACCTAGTAGGAAACCTGAATTTCAATGCCCCACCTGTCAGTAATAAGACAACATATCTGTTTCAAAAACACTTTAGGGTCAAAGTAGAAATTTTAAATATCCAATGTCTCATAATAACAGGGACCAACACTGATGACACATGTCGGAATTATCTGTCAAAGATGTTAAAGTAGTCATCATAAAGTGCTTCAACAAGTAATTACAAACACACTGAAACAAATGGAAAAAATAGAAAGTCTCAAATTTTAGAAGTGAAAAATACAACAATTGAAATAGAAAAGTCACTGGGTGGGCTCAACATCAGAATGTAGATGGAAAAGTAAAGGCTCAGAGAATTCTAAGATAGAACAGAACTTAACCCACTCTCAACGATAGAGAAAAAATTGACTTTAAAAAATTTACAGAGCTTTGGGGACATATGGAAATATAACAAGATTCAACAGTTCTGTCATCATAGTCCTGGAGGAAAAAAAAAAAGGAGAAAGAGCGGGGGCTTAAAAAGCACTCCAAGACAAATACTGGCTAAAAACTATGCAAATTTAGTAAAAAAACACAAATCTACAAAATACAGAAGCAGAATGAATCTCAAACAGGATAATGCCAAAGAAATCCATATCTATCTATCTATCTTTCTATCTCCATCCACCTATCTATGTATCTATTTATCTATCTATCTATCTAGTCAAACTTCTGATAACTAAAACAAAGAGATGGGAAAGTGGCAAGAAAAAGATAACGTCTTGTCAATAAGGGAAAAAACAATTTTAATAACAACGGATTTCTTATCAGGAATTATGAGGTGATAAAAAATGCATCACCCTTTTTTTTTTCAAATGCTGAAAGAAAAGGTCAAATCATATTTCTATATTCACCAATGAAAGGGAAATCAAGATATTTTCACATAAAGGGAAACTTAAGAGAATTTGTCACCAGCAGAATTATCTTAAAAGAATGTCTAAGAAGGGCCTCCCCGGTGGTGCAGCAGTTGAGCACTGGGTTGCGAAGCTGTCCACAGCCTCTGCAGCGCCGGTTCCATCCCTGGCTGCTCCCTGGCCACTGGAGGAGGGTCCCAGACCTCTCCTGCCGTCCGCTGCTCCCCTCAGCAGTGTACTTTAGTCCTTCTGCCTGCTCTGCTCCCTGCTCTGGCTCTGGTGAATTCTCTCACCCTCCCGTGCTTCTGACTGTACCCAGTGCTTGCATAAATAAATAAATAAATCTTTAAAAAAAAAAAGAATGTCTAAGAAATTTTTTTTTTTTTTTTAGAAATTCTTAAAATGAAAAGAAACTGGACTATCTGGAAGAAGGAAAGAACAATGGAAAGGAGAAAACTATGAGTCAATATGATAGACTTTTATGCTCTTCTTGAGTTTTTTTTTTTTTAAGATTTATTTATTTATACAAGCACTGGGTATAGTCAGAAGCGCGAGAGGGTGAAAGAATTTACGAGAGCCAGAGCAGGGAGCAGAACAGGCAGACTGACGAAGTACACTGCTGAGGGGAGCAGCGGGCACAGCAGAAGAGATCTGCACGCCATGTGGGATCCTCACTGGCAGCCGGGGATCGAACCAGTGCTGTAGAGGCTGTGGGCAGCTTCACAGCCCAGCACTCAACTGCTGTGCCACCGGGGAGACCCTCTTCTTGAGTTTTCAAGATTGTTTTTGAATAACATTGTCTGATGTGGTTCTCAAAGTATGTAGAAGACACATTTAAGACAATTATATTAAAATGAGGGAAGATAAAGGCACTTAAAGATAGGAAAGAGTTCTAACTTTACTTAAACTGGTAAAATGTCAATGCCAGTAGACTGTGCTAAGATATGTATGTAGAATAGAATAAGGATCAAGCAACCCATAAGAAAAAGAAAATAAAGAAATTAAGAAGAGAAGGAACAAAAAAAAACCAAAAATTAAATAGCAAATATAAGCCCCTAACATGAGCACATTAAGAGTTACATTAAAAATAAATGGTCTAAATACACCAACTAAATGACAGAGATTAGCAGGCTAGATTTTTAAAATGATCCAACTATATGCTATCTATGAGAAACTGACTTCCAATAAAAGTAGGAAAAGATGCAAACATTATGCAAACATTAACCTAAAGTTAAAACAATGGTTAAAACATTAACCTTAAGTTAAAACTATGCCAAAAGAAATCTATAGTAATCTATATTAATTAGATAAAGTAGATCTCAGAAAGAAATATCTGGTGGTACAGGGGTTAAGTCTCAGTGCTATCAAGCTATTGCCAGCCCCTGTAGCATGAGTTCCATTCCCTGGCCAGGGAGCTAACTCCCAGGGCGCAATAGACCTCTCCTGTCTCGCCCCTCAGCAGTGTATTTCAGTAGATCTGCCTGTTCTGCTCCCTGCTCTGTTGCTGATGAATCCTCCCCCACACCTGTGGCCTGCACCCCAGTTCTTGTATGCATAAATAAATAAATCTTTAAAAAAAAGTCAGCAAGGGCATAGAAGAACTCAACACCACCATTAACTGACAAGATCTGATCAACATTTACAGAACATTATACCCAACAATGTCAGAATGTACATTCTTTTCAAACACCAACAAAACATTTACTGAGATAGATCATATTCTGAGAGTCACAAAATTTCACCTCAACAAATGTAAAAGAATTGAAATCATATTCTCTTATCACAATGGAGTACAAGTAGAAATCAGTAACAGAAAGATAACAAGAAAATCTCCAAACTCTTGGAAATTAAACAATATACTTAAAATCCATGGGTCAAAGAGGAAGTCTCAAGGAAATAAAAACACGCACCAAACTGAATGAAGTCAAATATTATGATAACTCATTTCATAATCAGGTAAATTACAAGCAGTAATTTTTATTAAAGTTAAAAAATATTTTTTAAATCACAATTTATTTCTGAATTTGAATATTGCTGTAATTTTTTGTTGATTCCAGCTGTTACATAGGTTCTCTTTTTATATTTATTTTATTTATTACCGATGCATAGAAGAACTGGGGTGTAGGCCAGAGGTGTTGGGGGTGAGATGATTCACCACAGACAAATCTACTGAAATACACTGCCAAGGGGAGTAACTGGCCAGACAGGAGAGGTCTGCAGCACCATATGTGGGTTAGCTCCCTGGCCGGGGATTCCAACACAGGACCCAGCAGTGACAGCATGAATAGTGCTAAGGTCTAACCTCTAGGCCACCAGGGAGGCTCCTATTATACATGTTCTTGAGCAGTTTCTTGGAATAGTGAATGGACACAGTTTAGCAATTTTACTTGAGAAGGCCAGAAAAATGTTTTATTACATAAATATATAATTTATGTATTATCTACCATTATTGTATTACTCTTCTGTCAAAAACATCAGTGGCCCATCATGAGAATACTGAGGCAAAGCAAGAGTAGCAGAATTTCATCAGCTCTGATATTTTGCCAATTTTTAAGAACATAAAAAACTATACACATCTTTTCCAATTTTATTATGAACGTGTATTTGAAAACAAGAAGCAAATATATTTTAACAAATCATAACTTGATTTATATCTTTTAAATATTTAGACACACTGTATGTCCATTTCCATTTCTTCTCTTGCCTTGGGCCCAGCAGATGTTAAGGAGAGTTTGCTCCCAAACTCCTTGACCCTCAGCACCCTTTTCCGGAAGAGGAAGAAAACACTCATGGAATTGGGGTGAACCATTCACTAGAGCAAATGTGGCTAAGTTCTCACTTCCCTGAGAAGGAATACGTGTTGAAGGCGTGTTTGGGAGTTTTTGTTTTGTTTCTTTTTAAAAAATCATTTGTTTTTGGATGCAAGAGAGACGAATGAGTCTGAGGTCCTTGGGTAAGGAAGAGGCTGAGGACACTGAAGAGTGAGCTGGGTGACGGGGCGGGGTGGGATCGGCTACGAGGAACTGGCTGTGGTAGTGGGAATCCAGAAGAGGAATCCCCATCCACCCCCGCAGGAAACGCACCAGTGATTGGAGGCGTGTGCTTGTGTGAGAGTAGGGGGTTAGCTCCGATTCCCGCAGACATCACCACGCATGACAAAGCTACTTCTCGTCACGCAGGGCAAGGCGCACACGCGCGATCCACGGCCACGCCCGCACACACTCGACTCACACAGGACATCCGATGGTCCGGTTACCATGGCGAGCAGGAGCGCGTGAGCCCAGCCGCCCCTCCCGCCCGCGGCCGAGCCCGGTCAACTCCAGCTCTGATTGGTCGCTGCTTCCTCATTATGCAAATCACTTGCGTAGACTCGGCGGCCAGCTGCCTGACGTCACCAAGCACGGGGCTGGGGCTCGGGGCTTGGCTCCGGGAGAGCTCCGGCGGGAGCCCAGAGAGCGCCTCGCGGGGACCTCAAGCCAGACCCCACCGTCCCGCCGCCTCTGCCCGAGCCCGCCCCGCCCCTGGCCACGCCCCTTTCCAGCCCGCCCCACCCCCTCTACGCCTCTCCACTCGGACCCCGCCCCTTGTGCAGACCCCTCCCGCCCTCGTCGCCCGGGCCCCGCCCCCTCCCCCCCGGCCCTCTCCACCGGTCCAGGGAGGGGACGGCGGGACAGGCGGGACCGGTGGGACCGGCGGGACGGCGGACCGGGCGGGGATATGGCCGCGGCGCCCGGAGGGTCTGCGCCGCCCGCCGGCCCCGGCCCGCGCTTGGGTTTCAGCACCGCGGACAGCGGCGTCGGCATGAGCGGGCTAAACCCCGGTCCTGCCGTGCCCATGAAGGACCACGACGCCATCAAGCTCTTCGTGGGGCAGATCCCGCGGGGCTTGGACGAGCAGGACCTCAAGCCGCTGTTCGAGGAGTTCGGCCGCATCTACGAGCTGACGGTGCTGAAGGACCGGCTCACCGGCCTCCACAAAGGTGCGCGGGGTCAGCCCAGCCCAGCCCAGCCCAGCCCAACCCAGTCCAGCCCAGCCCAGTCCAGCCCCAAATCCGATTAGAGTGAGGCCCGGCCCAAACCCCAGCCTCAACCGCAGCCCCAACCCTAGCCCTACCTAGAGCCAGTCCAACACTGGTCCAATACCAGCTGCCTCTGAGCCCAGTCCCTTCCCAGATCACAGAGCCTCTAACCCAGAATTTTCTCTCCGATATCCTCCCTCTGATCATCACTCTGGCTCCCTGATAGGTTCTCCACTCTCACCTCCAACTCTCTACCTTTCACCTCTCACATCCCAACATTCCCCACCCAACATGTCCCCGGTTGGACAGTCCTCCCATCATACATCCCCAGTCCGGGAATATGGAAACTTATTCTACTTTCTAGGTCTCTGTTACCCTCAACCTCCCAAGCCCCAGAACACAATCATTCTGAACACCCTCCCCCAATCTGGCACCACCCTGTTTAGGCCTACCCATCCCCACACATTGTAGACTTGCATCCCTCACTCTGGCCTCCAAGTGCAGACATCCTCACAGAACCTTCTTTTGACTCTCAGACTGCCAACCTAAAACCCCACAAACCCAAATTCTCCCCTCTTTAGAACCCAGGCTTGGCTAACTCACAAAATCCAATTCCTCTCCCAGAAGCCTCTCAACTTCAAATTCCACATTTATGCTAAACAATGATCCCATCTTTCCCACCCATTGCTAGAATCCCAACACTCTCTGTCTCTTTTGATTTGAGTGCAAACCCTGACCCCAGCTGGGAACTCCTGCCACCTTGAGCATCCTCAACTCACGTTTCCCCTCAGAAGAACCCACACTTCTTTCATCATCTAATCTCCCCACTCCCGGGCTTCCTCTTTGCCCTCCCTAATATCGCTTTTTATGGCCTCCTGCTTTCCTTTCCTCACAGACTGGTTCTGGACCAGAGCTTGTGGACCAGAGCTTCAGGGTGGGTCAGGCTGAAAAGACAGGAAGGGGTCTTCCCCCTGCTGTTGCTAGAAGAGACAGAGGAACCATGGTTAGCCAGCCACACCCCTTTCTTCCTGTGGAGAGAGGGAGGAGGCTTGTTTACATGCAGAAAAGTCTTCCAGGCTGGGCTGGAGTAAGATAGCCAGAGTCACATGTCATACATGGGTGGGGAAGGAAATAATTTGAGGAGAAACACCTTCACCTCTCCCTGCCTTCACCATGCTGCAGTTTCAAGATTAGGAAGGGAACGCTCACCAACTACACTCCTTGATTGTCTTAGGAGAGAAATGGTGGGCCTTGGAGAACAGCTAAAGGTACATTCCTAAGGCTGAAAGCTGGAATCAGGCTGCTCTTTTCAATTGGGAGACCTTGGGGGAAAACCTCTACAAACTAACGTAGGGGCTTCAGGAAAATGCCCCTAAAAGAACCGGAACCAACCCTGCCCTTTGGGATAAGGTTTTGTTAAAGGAAGCCTGAAAGGACAAGACCACTCCATCTAGATTTCTTCTAATGCAGTCTGGCTGGCTGGTTCTCCATTCATCCATAGCAACTTATTTTCAAAACATTTACTTCAGTGTGTAAGACAAGTTAATCTTTCTGGACCATCTGCACAATAGGGAAGTATATGGAATACTTTTAATTTCTCTCTTCTCACTCAAACACTATCAGAGTCTCTGAAATCTTCCTCATCCGTCCTTTTTTCTCTCTTTCCTTCTCCCCACCCTCTCCATTTAGCTCTAATTCTCCATTTTATTCATGCATTTGTCTCTTAAGCCATGCTTCTCTGTCTTTCCATCCCTCCATTTTCCCACCTCCTATCCCAGATAATACATGCAGAGCTCCTTTAGGCAACAACATAGCCCCTGGGTCTTTTAGACAGGGGCTCAACCCTGCCCCATTCTGAAGTCAGCTTATATGACGTGGTGGCAGAAGGTGAAGCAGAGATGTAAAGGGAATCAAATGTTTTTAGATTTATCCCCAAACCAACCCCACATCTCTTCAGGATGCCATGCAAGATGATTGGGAGGGTCTCCAAGTCAACATCTTCTCCAACCTCTCCCCAGCAACAGCCACATCCAAAAGCTGGAGTGACTCATTTTCCTTTTGATGGCTGGGTACTCAGGGAGGCAGCCACAGTGCTTTGAAAACAGCCTTAGCCTGTGAATTAGGAGGTTCCAAACACTACCTTGCAATCGACACACTCCCTGGATTTTTAGTTTCCCTATTCACACAGATAAGAGTTTGTCTCAGGAATTCTCTTAGGTCCTTTTGACTCAATGAATAGCAGATACCCACCCACCTTAAGGGGACAACCACATAGAAAACAATGGAGAAACTGTTCCCACTTGCTTTTCTAATCTGGTGAGGACTGAGTGGAAAACTGCACAGGTTCCTAATGGCTTCCCACATCCACTTTCTCTTCCTTCAGTCTTTCTTCTTCCTACACTCAGAAAGGACACTCCTATGAGCTCTTTTTGAAAACACAGATCTTATCATGTTACAATTCTGCTTTAAACCCCTGAGTGGCTCTCCACTGTTCTTTAGAAAAAAATTAAAATCCAGGCAGGCCTACAAGGTTGCAGATGACCCAGTCCTTGCACATATCACTGGCTACTCTGCCTGCATTCATCAGTCTCCCCACCATACTGCTTTCCATCCATTTCCCCACCGCAATGAATACTTAACTCAGTTATCATATGAATGTGCTATTCCCTCTGCCTGAAAAAATCCACTGCACTTCTTGTCATCTGGTTAACCCCTATTTGTTCTTGAGGATTCATTACTTTTTTGAGATACTGATCAACCCTTTGGACTCAATTACATGCCCTGTGATCCCTGTGAGGGCAGGGAATGTATCTGTCTTATTGCCCCAACCCCACCATAATGCCTTACCATAAACAGTAAGTATTCAATAAATATTTTCTGGCTAAACGAGTGCTCGATGACTGGTGGAAAGGGAGAGATCCCTACTTTAATGCTTCCTAGCAAGCTACAGGTTCTGAGTGTGAACAAAGAGGGATAGGATAGGACTGGCTTTTTGATTTAACCCAGACTCCTCTGCCCTATATCTACTGACTCTATTAGATAAATTACATTTGGGGCACAACATCCCTTTAAGAGGTCCTGTCTTGAAGTCCTTGGAAAGCTGACAGATCAAGCCCCTTGGATAGGATTGGAGGTCCCTAGCAGCTCCCACCCACAGGAAGCATTTAAAACAGTCCCATCTTCCAAGCCTCAAATTAATCCATTTGTCAGCTTCAAACTTGGCGGGGGGAGGCACTAGGAAGGAGTTATGGGGTCCTGGGCTTGGCTCCAAACCCTCTTCCTCCTCTTTTCCCTCTTCCCATCTATAACTGAGTTGGGAAGAAATTGAGGTCAATTTGGCAGTTTCTGTGAGTATGAACCCAAAAAAGAGGGGAGGAGGCTGGGGTTAAAGTGAAAGGCAAAGCTGCTTAGAGGTTTAACTCCAACAGGACTCTGGCTGGAGTAGGGAGGGGAAATGTGGGATTATATGAGAATGTGACTGGGTGTGGGTGCACATGTTCTCTAGGCAAGAGGCCAGGCAAATGAGAGGGAATAAGAGCCTGGTACACGGGCACATACATAAAGCTCCTCCCTACAGAGAAGGTGGGAGACAAAGAAGTCTTCTCAGAAGCAATGTCTTTGTTTAAAGGCGAGTAGTCTTGAGTTTATCAGCTTACTGGGATCATTCCAGAAAAAGTATTGGGGGGTTTCAGGAAAACCCCTGAGCCAGCCTCTTCCTCCCCAGGCTGTGCCTTCCTCACCTACTGCGCCCGGGACTCTGCTCTCAAGGCCCAGAGTGCACTGCACGAGCAGAAGACCCTGCCAGGGGTAAGTCCACAGGGTTGGGGGGTGGGAATCACCTCAGACTGGGGACATGCCCTATGTGCATGCCAAAGCAGCATGTAGGGGCTGGGTTGGGATCAGGAACCAGAAACAGTGGAGGGATAACTTTCTAGTGGAGGGATAACTTATGCCCTGAAGAACTGTGGCTCTTTGGTATAGTCGATTTTCTTAAAGAAATGGGTTCAAGACCCGTGGGGAAATTGTTCTACCCCATCTTTAAGGAAAGGTTGGCTAAGCTAAGATTTGTCCATCTTGGCTAAAATCATGGCTTCAGGTGTCGCTTGGCACTGATGTGAGCATGTATTCAGATACATGGGGTAGAGGCTTTGCTGGGCTGATATTCTATTTTCTCCAGTTCTAGGGGACTTGATGGCACTCCCCCCCCTTATCTTCTTCCTGTAATATTTTGTTTGGGCACCTTGACTCACCAAGATTGCTTCCATACACTTGATTAAAGTTAGAAGAAAATTATTCTATGGGTAGCTAGGTCATTATGTATCAGTGGCATCTAGTGTGGACTTGGTTAATGGCTAATCACTGGGCAAAAGGCAAAGTGGGACATACTGATCATGTGGCAGGAAGGAAGTGGTCATTTTTAGGAACTAGCATGGGTTCACTAAGAGCAAGATACACTACACAGCATCATTTTTCACTTGTTCTCAGAGAATGGTATGTCTACAACAAGTGCCTTGGGGGGACAATCCATTTCCAGGCCTCAAAGGGTCATTAGCCTACCAGAAAGAGGCCAAGATGGCATAGTGATGCAAAAATAGTTGTGGAAATATTGGAGATATTTAGCAGGAAAAGTTGGAGTTTATTGGGGTTTTAAAATGGAGGTATCAACATAATCATTAAAAACACTAGTTTTCAACTCTCACAGAGATGGATTTCAACCCAGCTCTGCCATATATTAGTTCTGTGTCTCTGGATATATTATTATGATGTTTGCACTTCAAATTCCTCATCTATAAGGAGTGAGTTATACTAAGACTTAGCTCACTGTGCTATCATGAAGATTAACTGAGACTTAGCAAGTTCCTGGCACAGAATAAGATCTTGATAATTATTAAAGTTGGACTTAGGGTAAAGGGTTTCAGATTCCAAAGAGGGATTTTGTTTTCTATGGGTAACCCCATAGGGCAGGATCTGGATCAGAGGGTGTAAAGAACAGACCTCCTAATTTCAGCTTCATATAAAGAAGTCATGTCTCTGAATTGGAGCTGTCCAGCAATGGATAGGTTTGCCTAGAGTTGATCAAGCTATTAATGGGGTGTCAGATCCTATAACAACCCTAGTAATTGAAGCAACTTGAGCCTCACTCTTCAAGACTCAGTGCCAAGTAACACTAACTCATCACCCTTAACCAATATTTCAATATGCAGGCTCAGGAGTTAGACAGAACTGGGTGTGGATGTAGGCCCCACAACTCGATAGTTCTATGACCTTGGGCAAGTCTTTATTTCTCTAAACTGAAGCTTTTCATCTGTAAAGTTAAATTCATAGGGTTGTTGAAATAATTAAATCATGAACTAAATCATGTAAGTGCTTGAAATGGTTCTTGACAGAAAATAAGCATTCAATACATGTTAGCAGGTGGCAGTAGTAGTAATGGTAACAGTAGGTAATTAGTAGGAGGAGCAGAAGTCATTATTCATCCAACAGGGGAGTAAATGACTTCTGCTGCTCAAATTGAGATTCAATGAGACAAGTCATAACATTTCAGTAGGAAATAGCATGGTAAAGGTGCAGAGACAGAAGGAACAGGATGGATGCGAAATGGAGTTGGGAGTGTGGGGGGTTGGCTGAGGGAGTTGTTGTATGAGCACGAGCCAGGCTGAAGAAAGATCCACAAAGAGTTGTGGTTGAAGAGGAAACTTTGAATACCAGGCTAAGGCGGGGTTGGACTTCATCCTGAAAGCAAATGAAGAACACTGAAAAAAAAAAAAAAAAAAAATGAATTGTGGCTCCATAAGGCAGGGGAAGCTGGGGGGATTATATGAAGCTAAGGGAACCTGAGATAGGACTGGTGAGGTCCTGGGCTACTGGGATAATTTCTGGGGGAAGAAAATTTCTGGGGCAGAAAAGAGTAATAATAATAATAACTATAAAACAACTTTTATTGATACCAGAAGTGTTCCTAGGACTTTATATGTTCAAAGTCATTTAATCCTCTATGAAGAAAATATTGTTATTGGCATCCCCATTTTACCAATGAGGAAACCAAGTCATAGAAACCAAGTGACTTGCCCAAGGTCATATATCTATTAATGGGAATATATGGGCTTTGAGTCCAGATACTCTGGCTTCAAAATTCATTCACTTAACTATGGCTCTGTTACCTGAGCCAAACAGATGGCAGACAGGGGTCTAAGATTCTGAAGGCAGTGGCAGCTGGGCACATATTCCCTCTCCCACCCTTTCATCTACAGGATTCCAACGTGACCTAGTTTCCTCTGATACTGCCAGGATTGACTTTATTCACCTCCCCAGCTTAACAAAGTAAAAATTAATATTTAATTATTCTCCTAAATGAAAATCGATGGCCCTGTTGGCCAGCCCGAGCAATGTCCATGCCATCAATCTTTCCTCTGGGCCTTCTGGGGGCAGCAGCCGCTTTTGTCACCTGGCCTCAGGCCCACCAGCATGGAGGGAGGCGGGTGCCGGCTCTCTGCAGGCACTGGGTCCTGGGCACAGCTGCCACCTGCTGGAGAAGCAAGGACAAGACTTCCATATGGGCTCCTACTGGAGACATGCAGGATCTTGACTATGGAGCCAGGAAAGGCTGATCAACCCTAAAGAAAAAGCCTGGGTACCTAGGGGAAATTTCATAGTATCCACTGTACTGGGACCTCCCCTTGCCTCCCATATACCTGCCCCCTACTAATGTTCTGTCACCTATTTTTAAAGCCTTGCTCATTACGCAGGACTTCTTTCAAACATCAGTGGTCTCTCCCATCTTCTGTAGCCTCTTCCCAGTGAAAATGGAGCTACTTCTTTCATCTTCACTGTAGGCTCCAGAGTCTATCTGAAGAGATTCAGGCCCAGTTTCAGCTCCACTTTATGACGTTCAGAAGGGGTTCCCTTACTTGTTCCTCTACCTACTCATGACCTCCTTTTCCTTGGGCATCTGCCCTTCAGACACTGTGAAGCGCACAGATGTAACTGAATATATTTGCTACTGCATGTTGTACCTTGCACAAAACAGATTAAGTAGAAAAGGCAAATAGAGGCTAAAATCCAGCCACACTCTTGACTAAGTCATGCACATTATCACAGAGCTGTGTCAGCCCAGAGGAGGGGGCACCTTTTTCCTAATTCATCTCTAGGGTTGGGGAAATGCCTTTTTGCAATTTATACTGTTTGTCCTAGCAGCCACCCAGTGAATTAGTGGAAGCCTTTGCCCTAAAGGAGCTTTCAGCCCAAATATAGCTCATTGTATCTCAGGTTTACATCTGGCCATGGAGAAGAGGAATTGGGAATGGAGAGTGAGGGGATTCTTTGCAGAGCAGATACTATCAGAGCTGAATCATGATCATACTTGAGGGTCTAGAACTCTGAAAGACAAAGGCCACTTCTGGAATTCAGTATGAGAACTGGCAGAGAAGGTCAACAAGGTGGTGAAGGCACCACATGAATAGAGAGTATCTTGCATTTTGGGCAGCAGGGAGGCAGGACTCACAAGTTTTGACTGCCAGTCTAAGGACCCTGGGTTTTATTGGGAGGCTTATAATGGGGAACTATGGGGTGGATTTTAAACAGAGAAGACTGAAGGACTGGTTTTGAAAGACCACTCTGGCTACAGTGGGAAGGCTGAGTTGCAGAGGAAGCAACAGTGCCAGTAGGACGACCCCTTAGAACCCTGTTGCTTGAGTGCAGGTAAATGCTAACATTGGCATGGAGCTGGGGATAAGGCAGGCATGAGGACCAGAAGATGGACATGAGAGCCATTTTGGATAGATATCCATATAGATTCTAGAACTGAGCAGCTGGGTGGTAGACTGAATTAGAGGAGGAAAAAGTATAACCAAGTGCTGAAAATGATGAAATTTGCCTTTTCTCTGCTCCACTCTTCCCTACACCCAGGACACCTATCTTAGAGCCACCAGTGGGCCACTCTTAGGGGAGTTCCTAATAAATCCCATGCTGGTGGGAAGGGGCTGGGCACATGAGTGTTGAATGGAGGGAAAGGTTGGCATCAGGACAGAAGAGTATGAAGAAGGCAATGCTGAACCCAAAGGCAGGGATTTTAGGCAAGTCTAGCAGGGAGAAAGGGTAAAGTTCTAGCTCCCACTCTGCTCATGGGGGCCTTGTGCACATCTGTATTGCCTCTGACCTTCCCCACTCCACTGCCTGGAATAGGGCTTTCTCTCCTCTCCAAGACATACTCCCTCTTGATTTTCCCTCCAGAACTGGGCCCTGAAGCAAACATGGGCCTGGACTCCCCCCTGGGAAATTCTCAAAGGAACAGGTGCTTAGCCCAGGGCAAGAGTTCAGCTGAGGTCCCATTACAAGTTCTTAGCTAAGGAGGCAATGCCCTCTTTCCTCAAAGGGGAGACATGATCATCCACCCCACTCACACATCCTTCTCCTGACTGTGAAAGGAACAAGGCAAGGTAGCGTTGCCCAGGTAGGTCTCTTTCTCCTCCAGCCACTAAATTGAGGGTGTCTTTCCTACTCACTTCCCAATGAGGAGTGAAATTCGCAGAGCTCTGGAGAACACTAATATCCCCTCCCACAGCTCTATCCGATTCATTCTCTTGGCTCCTCTCCTGGGGACTTCTTTGTACCTCCAAACTCCCCAACTGCCAACTTTCCCAATACCTAAGCCATAAACCTGGGAGTCAGTCAATATCCCCTCCTCTCCCTTAGTCCCTACAAGCAATAGAGTATTAGTCCAGTTAATTCTTCCTAAACATCTCTTGAATCTGTTCATTTTCTTCTGCGCTGGCCCAGGTTACCCTCACCCTTTCTCTGTATTACTGATCTTCCTACCTTTAGTCTCTCCCTTTCTAATTTTTTTCTCTTCACAGTAACAGTTCATAGGATCCTTCATAAGACAAAAAGGACTAGATTATTCCCCTCTTCCTTCCCTGGATCCCCACTATTTTTGAAATACAGCAAAGTCAAAATTCCTTGTGACTTTCAGTCTTTCCCAATTTGGTCACTGCTTACCTTTCTGTTTCACATCCTTCCATTACAAAACATTATTCTATCTAGTACACCTACTAAGGATGAGCCTCAGAGTCACTATCACTACAATCCTACAGGACAGGTCATGATGCCCTCTCTCCCACTTCTTTACTAAGTGGATACTGTGGCTCAGAGACACTGAAGAGGTTGCCAGCTATAAAGCCAGGATTTAATTATCCATGCCTACCTGACTTGGAAGCAACTTGCTCCATCCTGGCTACCTCCGTGTCAGGTGCCCACCAGACATGCTCCTTCAGACTTGCAGGTCATCCTCCATACCCCAGTATCTGAAGTGCACAGCCTCCAGTCCTACTTCTCCCATTCTCTCCGTATGGCCAATAAACCCCGTCCTGCACACTCAGGTCAAACCCTGCCTCCTCCATAAAGCTTTCTAAGTCCACCTCTCCAACTGGATTCAGACTCTCCCACAGCACATTACTTCGTACTCCTTCTAAGGTCCTGGTCCCTCAGTGGCTCATTATTTGTGATCATGTCTTAAGAATGGCGCCAAGCGGCACATTGCAAAAGTCATGGGCTTCAGTGTCAGATAAACCCAAGGGAAGATCCCAGCTCAACCACTCACCTACCTAGTTATTGTGAACAAGTGATTTAACATTGTTCAGTCTCAGCTTTCTCATCTACACTACAGAGACAGTGTTATTACCTTGCAGAGCAGTTGGGAGCAATTCAGAGATAATGTATACAAAGTGTTCCCAGGAAGGGCCGGGTGTATAGTGGGATTTCAGGAATTATCTTAATTAAGATAATTTCATTATCTTCCTCTCTGTGATCCTCAGAGGACAGGGCCCCCTGGGTCATCACTGTCCCCTTCCCCAAAGAAATCAGCCAGGGGTACTTCACAAGATCAGCAAACGCTGGCAGCATGCCTGAGTGGTGGAAAGTAAGTGCCCAGCCTCTGAGGCCAGGATTCTATCAGGTTCCTGAGGGACACATACGTACCTAATGCCTACTGTCCATCAGAGTGGTGGAGTAGGGGAGGGAAAAAAAAGGGGAGTTGCCCAGAGCACCAGCGAGCTCCATCTCCCCGGAAACCCAGCCAGGGAGGAAGCTGCCATGGAAACCACTGCTGTCACATGTGCTCGTCACTCTAGGCTCAGAGAGAAATTCTCAGAATCTATTTAAGAACTAATAAAATAATGATGGTCTTGCTCACCCTCACTGCTCCCCACCCTGGGCTTCCACCCTTGTTCCTTCTCCCCTACCACGCCCCTCCCTGCCTTGCCTGCACCCCCTTCCTCATCCCCTTGTTTCCTTCCATCTCCACCAGTATTTTTCTTTCTTTGCCCGTTTCTAGGTCTGCTTCCTACTCTCTCATCATTTCTGTCTTCCTCTGTCTCTTCGTCTTTCCCTGTGTCTCTGCTCTCCTTGGCTCTGTCTCTTGGTCTCTCCTCCACAATCACAGGTGGCCATGCCTAGGGACGGGTCCTGTCCTCCTGGTCCCTGGTCCAGGCCAGTCCAGACCTGTCCAGCTCGCCCTGATCTGCTTGGATTGATCTGTCATCCCCTCTAGACTGCAGCCTGAGTCCTGTCGGTGTCTCGGCCCCCACCCACAGCCTGGTACACTGCAGGTGCTCCGCCACCAGCGGGTGGGTGTGTCAGAGCGTATAAGAACCTCAACCCTGGGTGGGAGGGGGATTGCGTTGGCTCTGTCTTGGCCTGTTTTCCTTTTTTTTTTAAAAAATAAGACCTCCCTACTCCCCCTAAATCTGATCCAAAGGAAATTGCTCAACTGTGACTGCCAGGGTGTTACCATGGTTACTGGGTAGCACTTGTGGCTATGGTAACAGGAAGCTGCCTGTTGTCTCGGCAACGAGCACATTGGTAGGGGATGGAGTGGCCCCTGATTGGTGCAGAAGCAGTGCATTTCCTGAGGGGAGGGGGTCAGATCATCACCTTCTCAGGCCAGATGGGCATCAGTACCCCTTCCTCCATGAACAGGAAGGCCGCTGTTCTTTCCTCCCGGCACTCAGCTGTCTGCCCCCCAACAATAATTCCTCACATCCTACGCACCCAGCTCTTGGCAGTTTACAAAGACCTTTTGCGTCCCCATTATCTCATGTGATCCCCACAACACCCATGCGAGGAAGGTGAGATGGGGATTCAGTCATGAATTCTCTCAGGGCGGTTGGGGGATGGGAATGTGTGGGGTGTATATGGGAATCACCTAGGAGCATTTACAAATTATACAATTCCCCATCTTGAGAGTCTGATCTGGTTCCCAGGTGATTCTTATCCACCCCTGATCAGGGAACCCCTGAATCAGAACGTGAAATTGGTTGGGGGGGGGGGAGAGAGGGAGGGAGAAGTCAAGCCGCTTTCCAGGTTTATAGCTCAGATGACTAGAAGGATCAGTTTCGGGGGAAAAGATGAGCTCTGGTTTGGGTGTGTCCAGTGGCAGGTGCCAGTGGGACTTCCTAGTCGGGATGTCCAGCAAGCATCCTGGGAGGTGTGGGCTGACAAGACAGCTCTGAGTCATTCCTGCGGGGAAAGGAGCTATGGCTGTGGGTGTGAATGAGACTATCTAGGAAGGAAAAGAGTGGGATGAGCAAGGCCAAGGATAGTGCCCTGGAGAATTCTAGCAACTGCAAGGGAAGGGGGACCAGGATGGTACTGAGGGAGTAAATGTGGAAACTATGGTGACACAGAAGCTTGGGGAAGGTTTTACCCATTTGACAAGTAGAATCTGAGAGAGGGTGGCTTACTAGAAGTCATACAACCATTAAATGGCAGAGTTGAGCATAGACAGAGCTAAGACTGATTTCCAGATTGCTTAATCAAAATGACACATAGAATTATGTTCTCAGTTTTAGACACAAAACACAAACCTGCAGTATCAGTTCCACCCTCCCAGCCAATTCCTCTCACCAAAGTCTTCAAGTGAATCCAGAAGCCAGAGGGACAGGCCTCGCACGGTCCCTGCCACTGCCCAGAGCCCATGGCAGGCGAATCTCCTTCACTGCCACATTCCACCCAGTCCTTGCCACTGAGCTTCTTATCACCCAAGCCTCTAGATTTCAGCACGTTCTAAATTCTTAGGTTTAAGGAAGGAATTTTGGAGAAAATCTATATTCCCAGTGTAAGAATAGTGGGGTGCAGAGTTTAAAGGAGCCAGGGCTTAGATCCTGAGGAGTCCGCGGGGGAGGAGAAGCTGGGGCCCCAGGGTCAAGCAGTCATACTGACTAGATGTGTTGGTCCGATGTCTTTCAGATGAATCGTCCGATCCAAGTGAAGCCGGCTGCCAGTGAGGGCCGAGGAGGTAACTTCCCTGTCTGAAGAACCTCAGGGTATCACCCCTGTAGGGGATGGTGGGTTTATTCCCGGAGTCAGCCTTACCCCAGCTTTATAACTAGAGCCTCCTGTGGTAGGAGGACCAATGAAGCCAAGAGTTGTTCAGCACCAGAAATAGCTCAGCCATTCCAGATCAGACTGAGAAGAGGTCAAGTCCTGGGAACCCAGACCTAGAAAAGGCAGGAGGGCCCTAAGCAGATGCTGGAGATAGAGGAAGGGAGTGCTTGCCACTTTGCTCCTAGAGAGAGGTCACTCCTGTTTTTCTAGGTTGAACTTCCAGGTTTTTTGAAGGACAAGGCTGGAGTTATTCTCTATTTCTAGATTCTTCTGATTACATGGAACCAAGCCCATTCTGGGTTGGAGCCATTCATTCCTTTCCTGCACCTACCTGCTGACTCATGGTAAAAAATGAGACTGGTAAGACAGACTTTACAGGCCACATTAAGGAATCTGACTCTATGTTAAGGACCATCTTTCTTTTAAAGTTTTTTTTCTAGTTACACTGATCCTTGGTGCAGAAAGGATAGAGAGCCTGTGCTTTCCGACAACCAGCTGTATTCTGGCCAGCTTCTATGCTGGAAAAGCAATACTAGCTTCTAGTGTCAGTTCTTAGTGTCTTTGTAGCTTTTTGGCCCTGTATTATTCCAGGATATCTGGATATCAGGATAGCCCTCCCTTCCATCTGCTGACTCTCCCTTGGATAAAATATGCTCCCTGACTTAGCAAAGCTCAACCACGGCTTTGGGCAAAGAAGTGGCCCAGATCAGGGAGAAAATGGAACCCAACTGACAGTTGCTTCCTGCAAAATCTGCACTCCCAATGTGGAGTTCTTTCCTTTTAGAAATCCTTCACCCTTTTAAATTCTCTGAACTTGGGTCTCTGATTCTCAATTACTGCTCAAAATGTCACCACCCTCCACTTTGTCTTGAAGGGATATTTCTAAGCTTCCTTCTGCCACTCTACACACACACACACACACACACACACACACACACACACACACATTGTTCTTTCCCATCTTATTCTTTCCAGACCAATTTTTGAGAAGTCCCAGGTTGCACACCAAACCTCTAGTTCACTTATACCAAGAATTTCTGCTTCTTGGGAGACTCAAAAACATCAAGGCCCTTGTTGGCTATTTCTAAGTCATGTCCACAAATGCTTGACAATCCCACAGCTGAGAGTGCTTGGGTAAGCTAAAAAACAAACAGGTTGGCCTGCAGTTATTTAACCATCCAACTAATCTCTTCTGAGTAACTTACTTCGCATTAGGAACACAGGTATGAGCAAGGCACATGTGGCACGTGACCTCATGAAGTTCTGGAGCTATGAGTGGATATACATAAGGGTCACAATTCAGGGTGATCAGTGCTCCTCAACTCGAGGGAATTGTGGGGACAAACAAAGGGCACCTAACTTACTCTGGAAGGTTAAGATGGACTCCCAGTGGAGTAAATGTTAAATTGAGATCACAAGGATGAACAAGAAATAGTCAAATAAGGAAAGGAGGAGAGGGAGCAAGTATTTGAGGCACATAAAGAGTTCAGAAGAACATGATAAAACTCAGAGTCTGGTTCAGCAGCTAAGTCCAAAGTATTATTTGGAATTCAACACATCTTGTCAGGGTGAGGGCAGCTGCACCAAGGAGACCTCCGTGTTCATAACACTTCTGCTTGGCCTAGTCCATGTGCCTCACTTATCTGGAACTCAAGCAGTGACACCTACCTGAGTTGTACTTTCTTCACCACTTTTGTACAAGCTTTTCAGCTGTCACATCATTGACAAATTTTGTAACTATACACCTATAGAATTCATAATTTTAGTAGCTATGCATAACACAGGTATTTCTTGACAAGTGATGACTTGCAAAGGGCATATACTCCAAATGTATCCACAGAAAATCCTTCTTGCGACTTGGACAACCAGATCTCTCAGTTCCTCCCTGCTCCCGCTCAGATTCACCATATGTACTTAGTCTTGCAGAACAGTTGGGCCTGGATAATTTATAAGTATTTTACTATAAGTATTTTACTGATCTGTTTTAGATAATCTTGTTACTAACCAAAATGTGTTCCTTTTCTTCAATGTTATCTATACCTCTTCTACAGTGAGTTCAGCTCTCTGCTGAATTTTAGCAGACTAATGATTAATGATTTAGAAATTCAACTTTTAAAAATGGTATTGTATTTTGCTTTTTTTTAATTTTATTTTTTAAAAAGATTTATTTATTTATGCATACAAGAACTGGGGTATAGGCCAGAGATGTAGGGGATGAGAGGATTCACCAGAGACAGAGTGGGGAACAGAACAGGCAGACTGACTGAAGTACATTGCTGAGAGGAGCAGCGGGTGAGTCAGGAGAGGTCTGCTGAGCCATGTGGGTAGCTCCCTGGCAGGGGATCAAACTTCTGTTGCAGAGGCTGCGAACAGCTTCATAGGTTTTGTCTTAAGCCCTTGCGCCACCATGGAGGCCAGGATTTTGCTTTTAAATGTAAAATTTGACACCAGTGTGGGAGGGCTTGTCCCATTCAAATCTTATCTCTGTGATCTCAAACATTCCAGAAGCTTTCAAAGTTAATGGTCACACCTGTGCTAATATGTTTAAGAGGTGAGCCTGCAAATACTTTTATTATTCCTGAAATTATATCTCTTAATTTATAGTTGATAATAATGATTTTTTAAAGATTTATTTATTTATGCATAGAAGAACTGGGGTGTAGGCCAGAGGTGCAGGGTGTGAGAGGATTCACTAGGAACAGAGAGGGCAGCAGAACATGCAGATCTACTGAAATACACTGCAAAGGGAAGCAGTGGGCGAGACAGGAGAGGTCTGCTTTGCCATATGTGGGTTAGCTTCCTGGCTGAAGATCAAACTCAGGACACAGTAGTGATATTGCTGAGACATAACCCCTATGCCACAATGATTTTTATATCAAATAGGATATTGTTGTAATACAGACATAATCTAAAGGGTATTAAGCAAATGCAATTTCCAAAAATCCTTCACTTCCTTCTGGAAGGGATATTTACAATTTTCTTCCCATAAAGCAGAGATCAACAACTCAGATGCTACAGGAGTCAGGTAGGTAACCCTAAATGGGTGAGACTGTCCTGACTTCATAAAAAGCTTACATTTTAAACTACATTCAACATTAGCAACGTCTTCAATTTTTAAAAGTGCATCAGCACAGTGAAGCTTAACCAAACCTAGCTTTGCTTCTTTGGCCCAGTCTCATTTCCCCCCTCATTGGCCAGAAAGGAGTATTCTATTGTACACACATGAGTTTTTCAGTAGAAATGGTTACTTTATCTTCTGTCTCTTGAATTTTGATGCCTATGCAACAGAGCAGTAATCTTCCTATTTTTAATCAAAAGAGGTCTGAAAATACCTATATTTTAAACATACTATATTATTTTTAGAAGTTATTGGCAACACTTGTGAATTCAATGCCTACAGTTCGATAATAGTACCAACATAGCATGATCTGCCTGATGGAAGATGACAGGCTCCTCTCCTCCCATGGCCAACCCCTACAGCTTTGGCGGCACTTTCTCAGGGAGCCAGATATGCTTCCACATCCTCAATGTATCCTCTCTAGTTCCTTTAGATTCTGCAAAGTTCCATGCTTCTTACAGTATTTATGCTATACCCTGTGCCTGCATTTTACATCCTGTGATTTTCCTTTAAAGGAAAATGCATTTAATTTTCCAAAATGAAATTATCTCTGAACACTCATTTCTATATGAAACATATATATGATCAAAAACCTTCCCCTTAGCATTTGGATTTATTTGAATGTGAATGTTAAAATGTTCACCTGGATAAAAAGTCAAGGTTCATATAGTTTAAAATGTTATCCTCAAATTACATGAGATCAGAGCTTGGGATTCCCAAACCCCTCAGACAGTGGTAACTACATTAGTCTATTTTATTTGCTATTCAGTGTGGAGACTGTGGTTGGTTTTTCCTAATTTACATTATATCTACAATGGAAGCACTCAAAATAAGTTAAGCTGTCAGTACAAATCTTATAGGAAAAGTATTTTTCAGTCCTAGGGCAAACTCTTCAAAATCATTGAACTCCTGTGTATGTTTTCCTCTCTTTCAAATTTCCTAACATAAAATCAATAAATTCATAAATCACAAGGTGATTGCTCTGTTTGTTCCATTCCCCAGCTTGACTGTATTTTTTACTCAGCAAATATTTATGTATCCAAGATAACCACGGCACAAAAATAGGTGAGGCAATCAAGCTACATACTTTTTTCCGCTTTAATTTTTGTTTTTACTTTAAAGTTGAAAACATTCTCTGAGGTAAAGCATCTCTTTTTTAATCTTCCAATTTGATTTTAATTCAAAAGCCAATTATCTGTTATCACATCAACCCTCCTATCACCATCATATAACTGGTTAAGTCATTTCTGTCTGAATTTGTAAGGGTTTGATTAAACATAAACCTGGATTTTTAGTAATAAACATAAATTACTATCTAACTAGGTGAGTCTTTTTTTCCAATGTTTTTCTAAGATTCTATATTATTCAGGGTTTAACAAATAAGCTTTGTGTTAAAGTTACATTTTGAGCTAGAATTTTCAGAATTTCGCAATATTGGACATATCCTCTAACCTAAATCAACATGGACCTTAAAATGGATGGTCTGTGAGTTAAGCTTCATTTCTGTCTTTGATCCTTACACTTATTTAGTTCTAATAAGTATTTTTCCAACTAAGACCTGACAGAATAAATTTCACAGTAGTGTTTAGGACTTCCCTCAAATGAACATTTCACTTCCTGAAAAGCATTCCACTTCCCTCCAAGGCAAAGAGAGGCATTTTCCTTCAAGATTGACCCAGAGCAGAAGATCCTAAGCTGACTATTGGAACACTTTTAGCCATAGCGATGACTGAACCTCTGGCAAGCCCCCAACAACGTGACACTGCCCTTCAGGTGCAGGTGTACAGCCTGCG